AGAATAGAATAGAATAGAATAGAATAGAATAGCCCTTTACTGTCATTGTACATGTACAACAAAACTGTGAGTACTCCACACCAATTGTGCTGGAACAAAATATAAATAGTTGACAGCAGGAAACAGCAAACAGTAGAAATATATACAAAAATAACAGAAAGGCATAGATTACAGAACAAGTGTTTGGAAGCAGTGCAAAGAAAAGACTTGAATAGAGTCTATCTGTGACTGTCTTGACTGATGAGGGTTGCTCAGACCAAGGTTCAGATTGGTGAGGTAAGTGGGCAGAGGTGGGGTTTGGGGGGGAAGAAACAGTTTCTGAGTCTGGAGGTTTCGTACCTGATTGACCTGAGGCACCAACCAGAAGGCAGCGGATCAAACAAGTGGTGGGCAGGATGTGAGGGGTCACCTGTGATGGCCCTGGTTTTCCTGAGACAGGAGGATCTGGAAATGGTCTCCAGCGGTCCCAGAGGGCAGCTAGTGATGTTTTGGGCTGTTCTAATGACCCTCTGTGCAGCCTTCCTGTTCTCAGTCGTGGCCCCTGAGTACAAAAACCGGATAGGAGGAGAGCACACTCTCCACTGAGGAGGGTAGAAGGCTATCAGCAGCTCCTGGTCCAGGTTCTTCTTCCTCAGGACACGGAGGAGGGGCAGCTGCTGCTGGGCCTTCTTTACCAGGGTGATGGTGGTGTGGGTCCAGGTGAGGTTGGTGGAGGTGGAGACAGATTCCACCCATTCTCCATTTATAATGAGAGGGGAGTGGACCTGTCTGTGCCTCCTGAAGTTCATTATGAGATGTTCAGCTTCAGGTTATTTTCTGAGCATCAGGAGGACAAGTTCTCTACCTCCGCCCTTTACGCTGTCTTTTCTCCATCAGAGATGAACCCACCCACTTACAAATTTGATGAGTTTCAGTCAGGTTTCAGAGCTCATCACAGCACAGAAACAGCTTTAGAAAAAAAACAACTTTATGTATAAAATAAAAAATCCACCCTGTGGTTTGTGATAACATTCTCAGATAAACTGACATCTCCTGGTTTGGCAGGAGATGAGTGACCATCACCGTACAGACAGAAAAACTCTATGGCGTGCTGACAATATCTAATTACCTGCATCACTTCCTGTGTATCCCTCATTATTAACAAATTTAGTTATGATGAATTTCAGAAATCATCCTGTGAAAATATTCTCATTTGTGACTATTCTTGTTCAGGTATGAAAAATGTCTCGAAGGATACCGTATCTATGATAATTTTGAATTTGTCCTGTAGTGCCTTGCTGTGTGTCACTGATACACTTCATGAAACAGTAAACTTTTTCTACAAACATACTAGCAGAAACAATCTTACACATGATATTAGGAGTGCTTCTTCTTGAATTATAAATTTAAAAAAAACTGTATATTGGAGCAATCAGTTCCACAATGCAACCATCTGCTGTGTATCTTCCTCTAGTTCCCAAACCCTTGCTGTTCCCATCTATGGATGTAGCATTTATGTGTCTTATCTTTCTGTCCAGGAGAGGGTGGTCTCCAAACAGAAGAACAAACAGAAAAGTAAGAAAAAGGGTGAGTTTATATCAAGGTATTTTTTTTTTAATGTTCGGCTTGTACAGATGGTCTGTGAGCTCTGAATGTGAAGCTTATGGTCAATGAAAATTATCATAGAAAATAAGAGTTTTTTCCATGTGTGTTCTGTTTATATGTTTGTATCTGTTATATCTGTTTGTATGTACTCTGGCCAAAATACCCAGACAGTAATACCAATACAAATAACATTCTTGGAGCTACTTTTACAAAGTGGCAACTGAACTATTTCAAAGTAGTACAGAGTCTGTTATTAAATAAATCAAACAATTTCTATGTTCTTAAGTTGATGAACAATTTGCCCCTGCAGTCTTTCCACAGAGTGGAAAAGACTGGATTTTAGTCCCTAAAATATGGGTACATTTTGTCGCACAGTCTCATATTATTTATTTATTCAAAGTGCTGTACAAACATACAAATTACACAATAAAATAACACATAATAAAATAGCAATATAAATTAACACCAATGCCAAATAGCTAATAACAAATAATTAAGTAAATAACTCTCATGCAGTATTAAAAGCCAGTGAGTAGAAATGTGTTTTAAGATAGGATTTAAAAAGGTTAAGAGGGTAATGAGGGTAACTCGCGCCATCATTGACCTCAATATGTTTCTATTTAGAATAGTATTCTGGTGAACACCAGTAGAAAAGGCATCTCTGCGGCGCTACCTGATAATACTCTCTGAAACTCTCGGAAGACCCAGTCCTTCTCTCCCCTTCTCTAGCTGGAGAGTTTTCAATTTTACACTCGGTTTTGACCCCTTCCAAACAAATCTACTCACTTGTTTGTTCCATTTGGAAAATTGGGCATCAGGGATATGGACTACCAGTCCATATCCCAAGGGATAAATTCAACAATCTGGGTAATATGTTCATTTATATAACCTCTGGTCTCATAATGTGTTTCGTTCTCTTGTTAGATAGACTGACAAATATTTTTTAATTTTCTGAATCCCATTTAAGTTTGTATTTTTGTCTGATATTTAATTTATATCCAGATTTTCCTCCAAACTCTTCAAGGATGTATTATATGAGTTTTGGAGGTATTACGTGTATTTTAGACCCCATTCCGACAAAACTGCCCAAAGAAGTCCTACTACTTTGTCTACTTCTATCTTAAACTTAAATATGATCAACTATCTCTAATAATCGGCTATGTACCACAGGCCTTCAAGGTGGCTGCAGTTAAACCTTTACTCAAAAAGCAACCCCAAAACCCAGCAGTCTTAGCTAATTATAGGCCAACAACCTTCCTTTATATCAAACATCCTTGAAAGAGTAGTTGTCAAACAGCTAACAGATCATCTGCAGAGGAATGGTTTATTTGAAGAGTTTCAGTCAGGTTTCAGAGCTCATCACAGCACAGAAACAGCTTTAGTGAAGGTTACAAATGATCTTCTTATGGCCTCTGACAGTGGACTCATCTCTGTGCTTGTCCTGCTAGACCTCAGTGCACAATCAATTAAGGCGATATGGCCTATAATCCATATTGTGGCATAATTTGAATCATGTGCGGTAACAATAGATATCGCGATATTTTCTTTTCTTCTTTATACCGTATTTTCCGCACTATAAGGTGCACTTAAAATCCTTTAATTTTCTAAAAAATTGACAGTGCACCTTATGTATGAATTCTGGTTGTGCTTACTGACCTTGAACCGATTTTATGTGCTACACGGCGCTCAAAAATCTGTCAAAAATGTTTTAGTACGACTTTGGTAAGCTACAAAGCTGCACCGCTTGATGGATTGTTGGAGCATTACAGCTACGGTACTCAGGAGCCTCGCGGAGGAATCTGGGTCCAAAACTCTGTCTGCTTCAGGTCCCAAAGTCATACGAACACTGCAGCATCACTGTGAGTTAAAAACTGTCTAAATTATTTCATCTTTTAAAAAATTATCAGCGTTGCTGCTTTACCAGGTGTAACAATTAAGTTTAACATCCAGGCATCCATGAAAACAGAATTTATTAAATTTTCAGAGTTAGAAGTTAGAAGGAAGTTAGCTTGCTAGTTACCTAAGCATGATATAGCATGTTCTGTCTGAGAGATTTCTGAAAGAATTCAAACGTACAGCTCTGCTATCACTTCCAACATAAATGAAGACAGAAAACTAAACAGCAGTGACGTTTGTAGGGTTACTGAAGTTGGGCTAGCTGGTATATAATGATGTATTACATGATCACTAGCGACACAGCTATGTTGGCATAACATAAACACAGTAAAGCTGAAGGATGAACGCTAACTTTTTTTCGATTGATAAAAGTAAATGTGAGGGTTCCTGATTGACAAATGCAATCGCATGGCAGGATGCTGTAAACGGACCAAACTTAAGTCAGGAGAACAACTGAGATAATCCATCAACAGTGTGAGGTTAGTTGCATGGGAATAGAAAAGCTGTGAGAGAATTCAGCATTATTGAATCAATAATATGGAAGTGGAGGAACAGGTGCAGCTTAATGACACCACCAACATATGCTATCGCAGTACAGCGCTATAGTCAAAATCTCTACCGTTGGCCAAATTCGTATTGTTTCTACCATATACAGTTTATACCCCCCACCCCTACATTCGATACTATCAGCCATAATATCCTATTAGAGCGATTAGAGCACGCTGTAGGTATTACAGGTAGTGCGCTGCAGTGGTTTGTATCATATCTATCTAACAGACTCCAATTTCACTCATTGTGAGTGGG